GTTTCCATCATGTTGGTGGTTTACATTAACACTAGTCTGTTGTGATGAACACAGAGATTTAAGATTTAAAAATAAATATATGAATGAATAAATGATCGCCTGTAGTTAGGACACCATCTTTGGTGTTGTCTTCAGGTGACACAGACAGCAGTCTCCTATAGAACTGCTCTAGTTTGCAGGGTAAAGGCGCCACCTGCTGGTCTCTCGAGTATTTAGAAAGCCGCTGCATACAAAACGATTCACCGCGGTTCTCTGTTTTGAATTTGATTCCGTTTTTGAAAGTAGCGAGTTTTGAGTAAAATTTTGTCTACTTTTTTTTTACTAAATGAGACCCTGCTGTTGTGAAATGTGATTGGTTACAGTCTCTGTATCCAATCAGCGATGGATAAATCATTTACTTTTCAAAGCTCTCCACTCCTGGTCTTTTCATGAACACCATTGTTACTCATCCACAAAATTAAAACCTAACTTTTTCCGTCTCGTTGGCCACGGCGACACTTCCATCCCTGACAAGGACGTAGACCACAATTCCTCACTTGTGAAATCCAGTGACTTTTCTCAGTGTTGTGATGAAGACGTCCTGATGTGTCAACACTGGGGGACAGACTGAGGTTCTGTCTGTGGCCGGGACAAAATGACGGGTCTTATTTTTGGCGTGTTTCATGGCAGAGGTGTGCAGTAAACCACAGGATCAGGAGTTTCTCTTCACTAACTTTGTTTTTTTCTTCCAGGGGGAAAACAAAATTCCAGGGAGGATGACATGTTTCCATCACGCTGGCATAAGAGTGTGAGCTCGCCGTCAGCGACCAATCACCGGCTAACAGTGTTAGCTAACACTGTTAGCTAACAGTGAAGGTTGGTTCCACTTGTATTTGAACGCACGCTGAATGACACGGTCTGTACATCCCATAATTCCACCCTCCATCCACTGACACACAGTTCACACACGTGCTGTTATTTGAACACATTGTGGGGAAAAATGATGAAGCAGCTCTAATTACAATCCCATCATTAACTCCTAGCATGTGTTCGTGGGTGCTTCAACATCAGGTCAGCGGCCCTAGCTTGTGTCACAGCAGCCGGACTGAGATCCATCATTTGGATTATTCGCAAATAACAACGGGTGAGAAACACTGACCTCTACCTGCTGTTATTTGTCTTTCTGTTCCAGAAATATACAAAAAATATTTGGTTTAATTATCATCAATAATAATAATAATGATTTATATTTTTATATCCTAATTATTATATCATAATTAATTACAAGCATAATTAATAACAATCACAATTAATCGTAATTAATTGTGATCAATGCATTGATCTGTTGCGCTGCAATTAATGGTTTGACTGACCTAATATATACTATGTACACAAAAAATATATGTATTTATATGTACATATAAATATATATATATATTTATATGTACATGTACATATAAATATACACATGGGTACAAACACATACTGTATACATATAAAAAATATATAAATACATATATAAATATATGTCTATTAATGCATATATATTCCTATATGTGCATATATGCTACAGTTATCTACATGTACATACGCAGGCTGTGTGCTCAGCGCTGCTCCTTCTGGCAGTGGGGGTTGGTGCGTATGGGTCTGTGGGGAATGTAAAGAATGTGAGAGCAGACTTGGTGGAGTCAACAAGGTCAGAACCCAAACAGAAGTAACACTCAGCCATCCAGACAGACATTATCAATCTGCTGCCGACAGTGTGAGAGCACGGAGCAGCCTGGAAGACAGAGTGTTATCAGTGCAGGGGAGGGGGCTCCAACGTGGGAACACACGTAAAAATAAACCCACAGAGGTGGAAAGAAGACGATCATCGCAGGCTGAAGGACGTTTGTCAAACACACACCTGACGATCGACCAAATGCCATCGTGTTGTTAATGTTTAACACCTTTTTTTTTCTTCATGTGAGGAGGGGGTCGACACCCAACAGCACGACTGTAGATTATAACAGATGCAGCCACTAAGGGGGGGGGGGTCTGCAACCTGACACTTCTGAGACAGTGTCCCACTGAGAGATGACTAGATGGTGCCTTAAATATATATATAAATATATATATACATACATGTGTATATGTGCACATATAGGTATACATGTACACATATATATATTTATAAAAATATATACACATATATGTGTATATATGCACACATATATACACATATTTAGACATATACTCCAATAAAAACCAATATAACCATCACACTGAATTCAGTTGGTGCTTTTATACTGAAAGAACCGGAGGAAATGCACAATCTTTGGAATAAACTCAAATTTAATTTTAAAAATAAAAGCCTGATTACAAGACAAAAAAAAAAATCATATATATTTCCAAATATATATTTAAATAAAGAACTTCAAGGCCACAGATTTTTTTCGTGTCACGTCTGTTGGTTCCTGCATCACTTTTTAAACCCTCTGTATCAAACACAACTTCCATAAAGATATATTTATATACTGCATATATTTATATATGACCTGTTTGCATCAAAATTCTCATCAGAGTGACGTGAGATCAGTAAAGGGAGAACATTCTGGTATTTGTCAACCAGGATGATTTCATCTTCATTTAAAGACGTTAAAGGTACGGTGTGTGTGGGATGTAGCGCCACCAAGAGGTGAAAAATCACATTACAGCATTTGAATCTAGGCACATACAGTAGCAGAACCACACGTTCACTCTGATAAACCTTCAAGAAACAAAACTTCCTGCTTTTCTCTACAGTTCAATACTGTAAAAAAAAAACCCAGGTTGACAAATACTCAAAGTACTTGAAGTACTGAACGTAAGGCAGTTACTCGGTGTGACTACAAACTGACTGTGTGAAGAAGCATGCCGGCTGTGTGACAGGTTAAACATTTGGTCTGTGTCTGAGGTCTGTCCGTCCTCCTGGGGTCACCGCCTCCCTATGTTGACCCACCCTGAAACTCCTTTACCTGCTGTTGTACATGTCAACTTTTCACAGCTCTGTCTTCCCATCACTGGGTGAGCTGCCGGTGGCCCCCCCCTCAGCTGCAGAGCCGGTTGAGGCGGGTGGGGCGGCACCGTCCGTGGGCTGGAATGCCAGTGAGGCCGAGTTGATGCAGTAACGTTTCCCCGTCGGTCGTGGTCCGTCGTCAAACAGGTGGCCCAGGTGGGCTCCACACTGAAACCAGACAACAATTTATTGTCAATAATTTGTCTTTGGCAGAGCAATTAAATACTCTTCCACTAGGTGGCAGCAGATATGACAGTGGTGATGATTGGGCTGTGGGAGCAATCTATTTTTTTTGACATGTTTGTTTTGTTTTGCGTCAATGATTGGGCTGTGGGAGCAATCTATTTGTTTTGTTTTGCGTCGTGCGATTGTTGTTTCTAGGTTTGGAAACTCCGACGTTGGGAAACGTGCGACTTTTTACTACAATGTTTGGAATCCTATATGAGCGCCCTGGTGGTGGAACCAAAACACTGCATCTGTACCTGGCTGCAGGTGGTCTCAACTCTGTGCATCCCATAAGAGAAGTCATCGGACAGAGAGACCGACTCCTCCCTCAGCAGGTCAGTGAAGGACGGCCAACCTGAGGACAGGGGTCAGTGGACGTCATCGTGAGTCTGAGCGAATCGTCACATCCTTCTTAATTAGCATAACGGCTGTAATTCTCACCTGAGCCAGAGTCAAATTTCGTCTTTGAGCTATGAAAAAAAATAAAAATAAAAATTCAATATTACAATACCAACACGTGCAGTAACAGACAGAGTACAGACAGAATACAGACAGAGTACAGACACAGTACAAACAGAGTACAGACAGAGTACAGACACAGTACAGACACAGTACAGACACAGTACTGTGTTCAGTTCTAACCTGAACAGCTGAGTTCCACAGACGACACACGTGTACGTTCCATCTTCTTTGTGATCCACAAACTCACCAGTGAAGGCGCTGTGGGACCAGAGAGAGAGAGGGACTGATGATTAATGCAGACAAATATGACGACAACCTGGAGCTGAAGGTGAAAACATCAGCAGGTAGAGGTCAGTGTTTCTCACAAATGTTTATCTGTAACGAAGTTTAGACCAGTATTATTTTACAGGAGCTGCTGTTGTCTGAGTGATCAAACTGTAAAGGATGGTTAAATGTCCAGTAGAGGGCAGAGTTTTCACATCTATAAAGCAGACAACTTTTCAGGTGTCCATCAATCAGAGCAGTGATGACGTCATCTACCTCTCAGTTCCTCTTTCCTGAGTAATATGAAACTGCATCGGTGTGAGGCGCTGTCTCAGCTCCTCCTGAGGGAAAGTCCTCGGCCATGTCCTCTTGGTCCTACGGGCTCCTGCAGGGGACAAAAAAGACAGTTACAGACCCGGACTCCTCCAGACAGACAGGGAAGAAAAAAACTGCAGTATTACAGAGTATAAATCTGTAGAGAGGTTCTAAAGAGTTCTGTGGTTACGACAGGACCAGACTCTGTTTAACTGTTTCAATAAAACTACAGGAAAGAAATATAAAAAAATCAGATTAAAAAAACAAAAACACACGCCAAAGCCAAGCAGTGACTGGAACGACTGCTGTGTCACAGGTTAGAAAATAAAACCACACAAAAACTAAAGAGTCTAAAGATCAAACACTAGAGGTGAACCTGAGACATTTAAACCCTAGGTGGCGCTGCTGTGTTAGTAAAGCTGTACAATGGTGAACTAAACCAGTTAATAACTAGTAACAATAAAAAATCTTTGTCGTTTTTGACCTGTCCGTTTAGTAGGTCTTAGAAAAGTACTAATATTTTAATTTAGTGGTTCTCAACCCCTGGGCCGCAGCACATTTGTGTGCCACAAGGGAAAATGTATTTATTTTTATTTCACTTAACTGATCTGAAAACCATTATTTATCTAAGGCTAATAATTTGTTATTTTATTTAATTATTAACGATCAGAATGATTATTAAAATAATTTTAAATTCCTTGTCTGCGTGTCTAGTGTTGTCCAGTAGATGGCGCCACAGACTTGACAGTAGAAATTGTTTATGAGTTCTGTCTGTAGAAAATAAAAACCTTCCAGTGGAGGAGGAGGCTGAAAGCTGCTCACAGATCAGTGTGGACGTCTCAAAGTCAAGGTCGGATCCTCCACAGGTGGACCACATCTGGACCAGGGTCTTACCCCAGGATAAACCCCACGTCACCAAACTAAAATCTGACAAAAATATGTAATGAAATCTAATAATCCTCTGGTTTAAATAAGACTAAAATCTCAGCCTGTTTAGTTGAAGACGACGCTGATAAACTGGCAGGAATTGAAGAAAGACACTCACAAAGATCTTCTTCAACAGCTCTGGTTATCTTTTCATAGCCATCTGCTGCCACCTAGCAGAAGAGGATTTAATTGTTCAGCCTTTTGTGCTTTGACGAGCAAAAAAAAATTAGGCTCAAAAAATAAATAATCGTTTTCAGCCCAATAAAGTGAAATTGTTGTGATTTTCCACGGCACACTAGTGGTCCACGGGACAGTGGTTGGGAACCACTAGGCTACATTCAGTGGTCGTGTTTTAATTCTGGACCCACTGAGTGATGGACTTTCAGACCCTGTAGAACCTTTGTGTGGGAGAACCCTAAGATACTACAAGGAGAACCCTGGAGGAACCACCTTTGACTTTGAGAAGCACCAAAAAAAAAAAAAAAAAAAAAAAAAACAGAGGCAGAGACAGGAACTAAATGCTGAAACACCCGCCAAGGGTT